ATGTAGTGAAAGAGAATATTTTGTCGTACTATGTAGGATTGGTTGGTTTTGTCAATTCTCATATCTGAGGCAAATAAGCGCGTGACCAGATCAAAGAAGTGATTGTATTAGGCATACCCAACAGATTTACTAATAAATCTATCGAAACATTCTTCCTCAGATCTTTCAACGTAGACAGGTTATCTACGCTCTTTGAGTGAATATGAATTCGTGTCTAAAGCTTTTGTTTTGTTTCTAAATCGTATTAATCTCTGTTTTTTTCTATACGAACGGCGTATTTTTGCAAATACTGAATTCAAAGCGTTGTGATCAGGTCCGGCCAACATGGTTTTAAGGCGTATAGCAATTAATGCAATGCATCCAGCCGTTTTATTGATCTATCAGAACAGCTACATATACCTCGATAGAGAACCACCAATTGATCCTAATTGCTTCTGCACTGACCAATATGCGCTTTCTAATTCCGTTTGAATGCGTTCTGATGCGAGGCAAAATATTTCGAAAATTTCTATTGTCCGTATTTGATGACCGAATGTAAAGCAATAGACATTCCTGATGGAACTACCTAATTACAAAGTGGTACGATCAAGCGGCTAATGCCGGAAGTATGTTAACGCTTTTACTGGCACAAATTTGAATCACTCCATGGCCATAACCTGATCAAATGAGTTTAAGCGTATCTGTCTTTGTAAGGGTCTTCAAACAAAAATCGATCCTCAAAGCTCATCCGGTCCGAATATGCCCGGTGCATCTTCTTTTTGCTAGTAATATCTCCAATTCCAATGAATACGCAGGGCATAGTTGTAATTGCCTACAGAGATTTATCGAAATGTATCATCGTTGCAATTTTACTGTTTACTCATTTCTACCTAATAGTTTCAATTTGGGCTTCAAAATTATTTACGTGTTTATCCTTGCTGGATTCGCGGACTAAATCTTGGTCCGTGTAGTTTTCAGCTGAAAAATCACAAGTACCTTAGCATGTGAGCTGCACGTCTGATGGCTTTATGAGTTTTGCCTGTATATAGATTTCAAGCTTACATATAGTATAGATCCTAAGTGTAATACACTCTATTGGCCTCAACATTGTAGGACATTTTACATACCAGAGCGCAGAGAAGGAAACTAAATGCCCACATCAGTAAACCCTTTCTTCTACTCGAAGCAAGACAAGAAAGGCATAAGCTCTTATTTAGACAAATGCCACAGTGCTGTGCAAGCTTCCAGCGTCACCAGCGTGGGACAGGTTGAAGAGCTCTATAAAATATCAGGTGGTCATTCAAAAAGTACTTCTTGGACCATCTACCTAAATGAATTATGATGACCGCTGCCGCCGTCTTCCATTCTATACTCTGGATGCGCAGACCGATAACCATATTCGTTCCCTTTTACAAATTATGCAAACCATAGTATTCTTCCCGGGAACAGTCCCCCAATGCAAAACCCACTACTGCATGGAGAAAGTAACTCCTTGCTCACAAACAGAAATTTTCACTTGAAATTGGAACAATGGTATAATACGGATGAAAAAGCCGGGGCCTGACAGGTATTTTGTGTGATGGCTTGTTTGAATAAGGTTAGTCAAATTAAGTTGCACAAAAGAGAAACCACGTCTGTGAACTTGCCATATTATCGTTACAAAATTTTATTTGTAATATATGGTCATTTATGAAGTAAAATGACATTGCAAATTCAATTTGGGTTAATAATCCACTTTATTCTCCCAAGAAGCCTGCATTTTCCGCTGTCAATTGAGAAGCAGCAAACTTGAGAAAGCTATTTACTTTTATAATCATGCAATCTACAGAGAAAATACCCTATTTTCCAGCAGGTATAGCCTTGTTATTAATTTCTGGCTCGTACAATGCATGACGGATATTGTGGATTCTCCCCATTTCAACATACCGTCTACTCGGAAGTGCTAAAATTGAAGTCGAATTGTACGCTCAGATCTAAATTACAGTACATTCCTTGCTTATTACACCATTCATATGTATACGACATTACGCTAAAACTTACGTACCCAACATTTTGCGTATTAAGTGCGTTCTGATACAGGAACCCAACCGAATCAATGTACTTTCGCCTAACTTGATCATTGCTATTTTCTCTACTCAGCGAAGCTAACAGAAGAGCTCCACCTACAGATAACTGCCAGGAGGTAAAACAAACTTTTTCTAGCCTGCCTCACACTCACTGTAAACCACTTTAGGCATTTTGCTCTGCCAAACCAACCGGACAATTCGCATGCACAATTCTCATTTTGAAACCAGAGTTCAACTGAAATGATTTAACTCTTCCAAGTCCACATTAACTTATGCGTTGTATGGCCACACAAGCGACAAATTTTCCCCTTTACTTAAATTTGCAAGGAAAACCAGTTAAACAACGTTGCTTCTCAGTTATTCGTTACAACACAACAGATCTTAACAGGTCAAATCAATCAGTTTTGTAGATTAGCTACGGCTAGGCAACTCGGGTTGCCTTAACTCCATTAAATTACTCGGCTAACCCAGATGAATTCTTGAAGCTTCATTGTTGGATTAAACCACACAATGTGCCTTCCTTCTTATTTGTGTTATGTTGCTTCATGCGGTTTATTTTACACCAAAACAACTTAACCCGTAGTATTGTCTATTAAACATGATACTGTATTACTCGTCCGGTTTTGGTTAATTGCTCCAACTCTTTCGTACCTCTAATGTTTTCTTCTTTCATAATCTCGTCGTCATTATGGTCCTCCAGATCTACACTGGAACCAAACAACTGAGCTATTTGTTAACTGATGGGAAATGACAGTAAAAGCCCTAAATGAATATTTTCACAATTAATTCCAATGTGTACTCAAGTATAAACTCCATCCAATAACAATGGTGCATGTGTCAGCATGTAGCCTAGGCAAATAAGACCCGTCAGTTTGTGGATAATCTTTCATCGGTATCACAAATAATTTACATTATAACAATGGTTATTAATACACTTCTACCAATGGTGATTCATCCGACCTGGACTAGTAACCATTAAAATCATTTCAGAGTGGCAAGAGTAGTGCAATTATTGAAATTATACCCCGAGAACTTTTACCAGGTACACTGATAATTATCTTTGGTCCGACACAGAAATCCTTACTCCTCAATACGCTTTCATACTTAATGTCTATCGTACTTAGTTACAGGAAGTTGTTTCTGACTTGCTTGGGACCACTTCCTTTTTCAGTTATTTTTGCAGTGGTTCCAAGTGGTGACTCGCAGATGTTTCTCCTCATTTAGTTTCGAATATGACAGCGATGATAATATGAATAGGAATTGACTGAAGAGCGAAACTGTACACATAGGAACTGCTTCGATTCAGCAACAATGGTGAAATATTCGTTGGCAGGCTTGAGTTGTATTGAGTTTTATTTGCACCTCCCGGAGTGTCACAGTTTTTTGTCTCATAAAATATCCCAGTTATGCAGTGCGCTTGTAGAATGTTAGTCGGAGCATAAAGCTGTTGCCGGAAACTTGATCCCGTTATATTATACTCCTCTGCTACATATTTTGTATTATTGGCCAACGAATATGTCAGGCAGTTGTCACTAGTGCGAAACTGAAAACTGGTTAAATGTCTCAAGTGGCCAAATGAGTATCTTTTATATAACAATTTGTTAGTCTGATTGAGTTTTATAAGTAAATATACAAATACGAAATAAAACAAGTCGTGCAAATAATTAGCTCGGTAGATAAAACTATAATTAGTCACGTTCAAATAAGATTAAATGCAGTATTATTAATTGTGTTGCACAGACCAAACTGCGGAAAAGATCAGCGATTTGAGGATAAAAACAGCGTCACTCATTAAGTCATGATGATTTCTAATACATAATTAATTAAAACCCGCAAGTAACAGGAAGCGCCGCAAGTAAAGATGGACGGCCGATAAATAGGAGCAAAAATAAAAGCACTTGGCAAGGAAATTATGTGCTGTCGTCTGAATAGTTTATTGAATACATAAGACTAATATGAGGGTTTGTCATTGAAAAAGATCAAATTTTTTCTGATTAGAGAAGTCATTCATCTTGACTTAGATCAAAACAAAACATATTCCACGATGAGAGATTGCTCGGTAAGCTCATGTAATTAGAAACCATAGAGAATGTAAGGATACTAAAAAGCGGACACTAAATTTTCACATATAAACTATACCTTTTTTTAATCAAAAGAGCCACTTGCAAAATCCAGTTGGTTTTGAAGATATTGTTGTAAGGTAATTTCTTTCTAACATTGGAAGCTCATGTTAGCTGTATTTTTGACAAAACTGTAGGTTTATGAAAAGAATAGCGCTAACCGAAACAATGGTTTTGACGTTACACTTAATCAATTCAACTAGCTGACTAGCTCAATCAGGGTTAGCAAATCCTGATATAGTGGGGGCAGACATCTAGATGATTAGCACCCCAAGAAAAAACTTTGTTCCCAATTTCGAGGCAACGTGGAATTACCAATCTCCCGCTTTCCATTTTGACCTTACTGGTACATGGAACAAACTAAATATTTCTCCATCGGTATGCTCATTACTTTCAAAATGAAAAGTCTACAAGGGCGATCCTACGTGTTGAACATATCATCAGAAGGAAAGTAAAAATTTTAACTACATTTTGACTGCAAGTGGAACTAAGTTTAAATATTCAGCTTATTACAAAATCCATTAAATTAAAGTGTTTATCTTCAATTGGATAATGAGAAGCACTGGTATGTTAGTAACGACATGGCAATTTCTAGAAATAAGATAGATTCGAAATAATCGGTATGGGTCATTCTACTTATGCAACTAAGTTCAATAAATTTCAGATAGACGAAATTGGCACATTCCAGTTAAAATAACAGAAAGTGATTCAAAACTTCTCGGGTTTTAATTTTATCAGACCACTACCAAACGAAGAAATAGGGTAGTAGCGGTACGTGCACTTTCATGAAGCTCACGTAGAAATAATTTGTCGCGATTTCACATTATGCACATACCTGTTAACAATTGCGCGGAGATTCCCACAGCCCGCACGCTGACCTCATCAGTAACCCGAATTTCTAGACTAGGATGTTCGTCCGACGCGTACACAACGCGTGATTGGTTGCTATCATCGGAATCCGATAAGTGCTCTCTCAACTGTTTCGCCAGCCCAGGCGGTATCGCGTTGTCCAGGCGCGAACGATCAACAGGTTCCAACCATATCCGGAATTTGCCCGGATTTTTCCCAACTATCCACGCTGCGGACGAAGCTAATCCAGGTTTTGTTGTACTCCGCAGATAAGGCACATTATTTGCATGTTTTGAGTGGGCTTCAGTTGTCCCCAATGTCTTAATGTCTCCACTTTTATGCAGAAGCAACGGAAGAGCGGGTGGTCTTTGATTGACATCGAGTGAGACAGAATTTGCGTTGCTGTGATCTCCTGCAAGATTGTCTACACGTAGTCGATGAGCAGTGTATTCAGTCACATCAACAAACTGATCAATGTGTCCTCCAAGTACGTCTTTATCATAAAGTACCGATCCAGCAAGAATGAATCTAGGATAGATAATGAGAGGAACCTTAATATATTTTGTTGCTTCATTGGAAACCATACCGTGATGGGTATATAACAATCGAAACTGCAATCAAACTGGCCAAGTTTGGCACTGGTTTATCCTAAGCACACCGTGCTGGAATCAAATTGGGTGTTTGACTATCCCGGTAAATCTAACCGCTTGTCTTAAGTCTAAAACTGGTGTTGATTATGCAATAATGGATAAATATTCGGAACAGTGAGGCTGTCTTTGATCATAAACAGTTACAAATACTGAATACTGGTTCGAAGCAGCGAGTAGAGCTTTCTCTGTGTAGCTGCATCATTTGTCGCTCTTGGACATTTACGTCTTATTTATCGTTCCGCTCTCTCTATATTTTGCCTCTGCGAAGTGTTTGTCTAGGAGCTTCCTAAATTCGGACACTGAGTTCGCCTCTACTATCTGCTGTGGCAAGTAGTTCCAGATATTCACCACTCTGCGTTCGAAACAGAGTTGGTGAGCGACCCGCTTCAACTTCGGTACGATAAGTTTGTACCGGTGTTCTCTTGTGCAGCTTGGTGTACGCAGATGTAGCAGTTGTCTCAACATGAGTTAATCACTCAGATGTAATATCCGGTGCACCATGATGAGGTCAACCGTCAGCCGACGATATGCTAGGGTGTACGGCCCTAGTTTCTTACATCAGTCTTTATATGGCATACCTCGTAAGTTGGGAATCAGCCTGGTGGCTACATGCTGCAGCCGCTCAAGTTTTTCTACCTCTCCCAGCGTGATGGGACAATACGCAGAAGAGCCGTATTCTAGCATTGGTCGTATTATTGAGACGAAGAAGTGAGTAACAATCTCTTCGGACCAAGTGCTGAAGCTGCGTCTGAGGGCCCAAAGCATCCGAAGGCTGTTTTGGTACAGCGTATTCGTGTTGTCAATGGACTTTAGATCGCAGCGTGAGAGCACACCGAGGTCGCGCACGAAAGACGCGGGATGCAGCGGTTGACCAGCCACTGTGTACGTTCGGCTGTGCTCACACTTACCCAACCTCATAAATTGCGACTTAGCAGGGTTGATCGGAAGGTTAACCTCTGCAGACCATGTTGAGAGGCTGTGGAGATCCTGCTGAATTAAATCACAATCATTGAGTGTGGGGATTACTCTCCACATCTTCAAGTCATCTGCGAACAATACACATTGAGACAGTGTCTCTTTTTAGTACAGTTGTGACGAAAGTCTGAAAAAGACTACCGTCAAGTTGAGACGATTGGACAGCGCGTCAAGTTGGGGTATTCAGTTACTTCCTAAAACACCCTTAACTGCATTTGCTTCCGCTACTCATACACGTTCACAAGCTACTGGTTGATTTGCCACTAGTCAAATTTATACGTTGCAAGCCGATTCTTGTTTCTGTGATTCCACTCCCAATGATTGCGACCACAGCCACAGAGCTTGTCCAGTGGCCCACCTTCGGTTCTGATTCCCGTTCTGTCTGGCATGCAGCAATAAAAGTACCATCTTGCAGGTCAGGCAAAATTCTGATCTCACGCGCAGCTATCAATGTTTGCTGTCGTTCCGAGACCCGATGGCAAGATCTCAGAACGGTGATTGATATGAAATCTCCCACCGACCACGGAGCCATAATTCACCTACGTCTATCTGGTGACACAGAAGCAGCCGCGATAGGCCTGACTGATGTTGGTGTAGCAGTAAAAATCGAATCAAAGGCAGCACTGCGTGCAGTTCGGTTTCAGGGGTTATGCAGGTGAAACAAATGTTATGAGGTGGGACGCGATTTGTGTATTTTCTCGGCGTATGTTCCAAATGACTGTAGTTATGACCCGGTCAAGGACGGTTTTTATCGTAAACGTCAATTGCTCATGAGCAGTGCTTGCAAATCCGACATTGTTGTTCTTGCTGAGAATCTTATCGATCAGGTTGGTCGTTTATATAATGTAAAATCACCTCGGTATTCATTATACACTAGGTGAGGGCCGATCAGATGATCGGTTTCTCTCGAGCGTCGGCTCCAGACAAGCAAGCAGACGTCCTGTTACTTGGTGCTCACTCTCTGTGACTCAGTTATGGTATTAGATTGACTATGTCGAATTAACTTTAATTTGGTTTGATAGTTTAAAGGATGCAGATCCATCTGGTTGACAATTCTCGACCCACACCATGCTAATGTTCGCGCGAACAGCTGTATGAGTTTGGGATGTCCCCGGATATAAATAAAGTATATACTCTCTTGGTTCTTCCAATTTATCAAGCTCTCCTAACCAATGCACTCAGCTGCCACCCGTTGCAATACATTGATGAACACAGAATCTCCATGCAATTGAACGCTTTCTCTTCTAAACAATCAACTTTGGGCAAACTGAGCACCTTATAAATGCTTGCATGTCCATGCGCCATCTGGATTTATTCGACTACCGAAGGAATATCCCAGCGGTGTCAAAGCATAATGAAATGAGCCGTTCTATCAGTCAGCAGCTCAACCAAGTCTACAAGGTCAAAGCGAAGCCGAGTAGTCTCAGTATGAATCGGAAATGGAGACCGCTCGCTGTCAATACTAGCAAGCTATTTCAGCTCACTCGTTCCACGAGACATAGAGAGCCTGGTAACAGTAAGACTATTTGCGAAGTGGGCTGATTGCCGATTTCTAACCTACAAAGAAGTTTGCGTCAATGGGCTGAAAGTTTTCATTCCCAGTTCACTTGGCCCTCACCGTCCACCTATTTGATCTGCCAATCCAGCTGCACGCCTCGGGTTGTCACAGTTGATCCATCCATAGCATAATTTTGCCTTGCGGTTCAGCAGCAGAAGCGATTCAACACTGTCAGCTCAAGTGAGCAAATATCCCAGGTGTAGACATCAGAACAAGAGTCAGCGAACAAGCTCGTTTTTGGTGGATCTCGTCAGGCTAGTACACAACAACTAATAGGAATAGACAGTATAAAACATCTTAACCTAACCGGAAGAAAGATGTTTCCGTTAGACGTGTCGCTCTTCACGAATGTTCCTTTAGAAGAGACAATAGGCTATTTATGCGACACCATTCGAGCACATCAGTTGAACGTCGGCCTGTCGAACAATCGGTTGAAACAGCTACTCATGCTGTGTACTAGCAACATACAATTTCAGTTTAATGGGTAATATACAGACAAAAAGACGGAGTAGCGATGGGCTCACCGCTCGGACCGCTGCTGGCATATGTATTCATAATCATATCAGAAAAGAACTACGTGAGCGGAGTCATTAGCGTATTACCCTATTATGGCCGATATGTAGATGATATATTTTGTGTGACAGACAGTCCTTGCTGACCAGAGCAAATCCTATTCCTTTTCAACTCAGCGCACGATAACGCTAAGTTTACCTTAGAAGCTGAACGTCATAGTACGATGTCTTTCCAAGACGTTTAAAATAGCAGAAGATCAGATGGGTCGATCTAACGCAGGGTGCACAGAAAAGCCACGTGGAATGGACAATACATACATTTGGCCAGATTTGTCCCACTAAGTCAGAAGCGCAACTTGATTAGATATTTAAGCGAAAGGGCAAGAAGGATATGTAGTGAGGACACGCTCTCGGACGAGCTGAATTTCTTAGCTGGCCTTTTTGAGAAAAACGGCTATCCCGAACAGTTTGTTCGGAGAAATATGGAGTGCCCAGAATCGAGAGCTAAAACCGATTCGGTTGAAAAGAAATTGGTTTATCTGTCGTTGCCGTTCAAAGGAGGTGGGATAGCGCAGGCAACGTCTAGAAGGCTATCCGACGCCACAAACCGTACGCACTACGCGGCAAGCCTACGACTAAGATTTACTTCAACACCAATCGTAAGGCTTCAACTCAAGGACAGACTTCCTCGGTCAAGTATTTCTTTCTGTGTATACTCCTTTACTTGTTCATGTCGAGCAAGTTATATCGGAAGAACAACCAGGAAACTGTCTGAGAGAATCCGTGAGCATTGCCCGAGTTGGCTATGTACAGATGGAACTAAAACAGTGAAAGCGCCGTGTTGGCACATCTAGTTCATTTTAACCACCGGATCGATAGGCACCAATGTTTTCAGCCAATTTACCGCGTATCTGGATGCTTCGCACGAGCGGTAAGATGTCGCCTATTAGCAATAGCCTAAGCGATCGCCATCCGTCTCCAGCACCCAGACCTATGTCCACAGAAACAATTCGTTCAGATTTTCTCTCTTCCCTGGCCCCCTATTACAGTAACCCCTGCTGAGAAACATGCAGCTGACATGACATTGATCGTTTGTGAACCAGGCACTTGACCTTATCAGTTAGATGACCTAGACCTTTTAATTTTACCTTTTGAACTTTACTCCCGTCTGAAGTTTCAACTCATTTTATCCTTATTAGTTGTGGTGTACCAGCCTGACGAGACTGTCAGCTCAGACGGACTTCCTCAAGAGTTGTCCAAATATGGTGGCGTAGTTATAATCAGTCAGCTAAACTTAGTGTGCTCCGAAATCTGATGTAAGGAAGGGTACCCTATTCTTAGAATGAAACAGATTTTGTCCTGATTTTTAAAAAGTGGGCTCGCACATCATGCACGTACCGCCGGGGTATCACGCTTATGTCACTTGATCCCAAGCCGTTGGCAGCCATTCTACTTCATAGACTATCCCTCATTCGTGAATCATTGTACCAGGAAGAACAAGCTAAATTCCGTCCAGGCCGTGGGTGCACGGATCAACTATTCCCGCTTCGCCAAATCCTCAAACATCTTCATCTCTACCAAAAGCCTACCTTCGCTGCATAATTGGACATCCGGGCTGCATTCTACTCGGCTGATCTACCTTCACTTTGGTGTTGCGTGATAAGGACCGGAGTCCCGGAACAGTATGCTTCCATTCTGAGCATACTCTACGTCCACATCTCAGGTAGAGGAATTGTTTATGGCAAGCTTATCACATTTTTCGCTGTCTGTAGCGGTTTACGGCAGTGCTACCAAATGTCCCCGTTCCCCACCAATTTTGCGATTGAGGCATCTTCTCTCTAGCTCCAGATGGTTAACAAAATTTGGGACTGCATCTACTACTCGGTAAGCGGGCAGCCGACTTCGACTTTGCCAATGACATCGTCCTGCTTAGGGACTAGTTGCAGAGTAGGCAAACCCTTCCAAACCGTTTGGGGATTAATACATTTAATTATGGATATTGCCTCGTCCCGTCGGGATGCAAAGTATTGCTCCAGGATTAGCACTCTAGGTTTCTGTGAGCAATATTGAATTTGATCTGCTAAAATATATTGATAGCTTTGTATATCTGGGTTGTTATTTTCAAAGCTACTTATCTCCGCATTTTCAGTTCCCATCTGCAAACCTTCAACACGTGTGGCGTCGTTCGGATATCACTTTATGCCAAAGGGTTGTGTATACAATGACCCTGTTCTGGCGGTGTTGCTATATCGCAGTAAGTAATGGCCAGTACACTTAGAAAGTATGCGCTGGCTCTCGGCTTTCGAGAATCAGTGCTTGAGAAGAATTGTTGGTATGTGGTGGCAAAAAGGCATCTGCAAAGTTGAAGCCAGGAACTGCGAGTCTTCTCTTCTACAGGCGAGTTTTACTGCGGCAGTTAAGATGCCTCGGTCACGTCCTGTGTAGGTCAGGTGGGCGTTTGTACCATCGCTCCCAGTTTGCTTGTGCTGTATTCGACAGGCGATACTACACGGTGGTCAACCATCCACCTGACGACACGCATGAAAGCACTGACTTCAGGTTCTGCCGCCTGCCTGGTTGGCGGCCTAAGGACGAAGTGTGCTGATGATTGTAAAGTGTTCAGGACATAGCAAACAATCGACAGCTCTAAAAGATCTGTGTACATATTTAAGAAGATCTAAATCATTAACGCTCAGGAATAAAAATGAGAAATATAAAAAGGTGTGTGAAAATAGCGAACTTGCACCGTTCTTCTTGTGGCAGAATAGTTGAATTGTGGCGCTCACTTTAAACAATGTGCCGTAACGATGCGGCGAATCTACCTGCCATAAAGCAGCTTTTCTTGGTTTTGTTTTGCTCTTTGTCTTTTTTATTACGCTTGTTTATACATATGGGTATACAAACTGCATAGGCGAAGCCCAACTTGTGATGCAGTAGCACACACTGCGTATAATGTAGTGACTTGAATAACTGTTGAATTTAATGCAAGTAGAAAAATGTGAGAATGCACTCCTTTCATTAACTATCTAATTTAGAACAGAGTAGTGAAGAAACAAAATATTCGATGCACCTAGCGTTTACCAACCTACTATGCCAAGTGTCAATCACCACAAAATATTAAATAACAGTTTTAGTAACTTAGTATCGAAAGATAGTTAGCGCAGCACCGTTGGTCGCTCTTGGTCCATTCGCAATGCACACAGTAATAAATTTGCGTTGCGCAGTAGCGACCTATCCTGGACGAATAACAGGTACATGGTATAGCATCAGTGCCCCAAGCGTGCTATGAATTCGACTGACCACCATTGAAAAAATATCATTATCCAGGGGCACTCAGTTCTAAAAGAAATATTAAGACCAAATGCAAAATACCATAGTTTATAGCCGCTTTTTAATCTCTCCTTCTTTTACCTCAGAAAGTACCTTAAAGCTCTTACACTTAAGTCCAGTTCCGAGGTAAATGATAATTGTACCATCCTCACTGTACGTCTAAGAAATGTTTACTATACGAATGACAATAGCACACTTCGTAAGCGCTGCATGTTAACACAAGATGGAAAGAAAGCGGTCAGTGTTTAGTGACTCGATATTCTGAAACATTTGCTTGGATAACTTTTGTGTAATTGGGGAAAACAGGCGGATTAGTTGTACAACAATAACGATCAACTTCAGTTGGTCAGCTATTGTGTGGAAGATTTAGCATCCAATAAGCCGTAGAGCATGTATAGCCAATAATGCCTTTAGGCAGCTACGTCGGGAATTTATTTATGGTTTGGAAGTGTATGGATGTGAACGTCAATTGCATCCGATCAAATAGAATGGCTTTCAACGGGATAATTCAACGGAAAGTTCCACAATGCCACCCTGCACAACAGCTTGTAAATTCAGTCTTCGATTAATGAGGAAGAATAGTGACCAATCATTATTTTATCAACATAAAATCTAACTGCCGTCAATCAATGCATGTTCTTTTACATCACGAGTTACAAACTTCTAGTGATATATTTCGCACAACAGGGTAGATTGAGACTAACGCAGACTGAATGATTCCAAAACCTCCTCTGACCACATGGTAACAATCGAATCACGTAGAACCAAATACTACCGTCCTGTTTTTGCAAGTGAATTCGTTCTAAACGCTAGACTAATGGTGACTGAAAGCAATATGTGTTATCTCAAATGTAACTTAAATTAGGCTTCTAATGTGTTGGTTACCTTGGCTTTGTTAAAGAAAAAATGCTCACCCGTTGAGAGAAGCTTACGTACAACTTGTTGCTGTCAGAGACTAATTTTTGGCAGCAAGTTTGGTAAATAATGACTTCGACAGTTAGTTGCAAACGATAGGTTGCTACCGTGATTTCAGAAAAAAGTTTATTTTATTAAGTTGCCAACACAAAAAGATGTTAAGGCAATAAATGCACGTGAGGCTTTGTCGGGGTTTGAAGTATTTAGAAATATTTAATAAACAAAGATTTATATAAGCAACAAAAGTCTATAGCAAAGTTCAAAAGCGGACAATTCGCGTGTTTTCTTAATTTTAGTAGTTACATGTTGCCAAATATTCTGAAGCCATGCTTTGATAATATCATTTTGCAAAGGGACTACCGACACCAAATACCCACGGGAGATTTCTGAAACGTATCCACTACGTTTCAAAACTGCTAAATAATAAATAACCAAGTAGTCCGGAAAGCTATTAACACTCGATGCGTCAAGTGTTATAACAACTGCTCGAATTGCAATTATTGACCGCTTGCCTACATTTAGATCTGTTGATCCGTGCGAATGAACGTGTATGCACCGGCTAATTAAAAATAAACGTCTTTTTAGCTGGTTGACATAATACTTGGTGCATTAGCTGTCGCTACCAACGGAAAAAAACGATACTTTGTTTAAATTATTTTTTCCGATTTACTTTGAGTTTGCGTGTTCTGTATAGCCTGTTATCTTGTCTACTTCTGTAATAGCAGTAAACAACATTTTGCGACGTTTGCGTAAACATTCGTGCAAAGTGAACTATGTGTTGACATCATTTGAAAATCGCCATCAATTCACTTGTGAGATATGCGTCCTTATATTTAATGCTTTTCTTTATATTGAGGGCTTAATCCACACAGTCCGATAAATTAGGATAATAGTTAAACCAATTGTGTAAGTAAATTATCAGGGCCAGCATAAGTATTACCGGACAGCGAAAAAGGAAAATTTGCCATTAGCGCTCATCCACACGTTATCACACTTACCTGGCCAGCACACGTACGGGCAGGTACTGAAAATAGCACATGGAGTTGGTGTCATTCAACTGAATCCGACCTGTTTTTCGGCAGACTGACTGTTCGCGTTTTGTGCTGTGCAAAGTAACCAATACAGAAATGTACAAAACGCTTCCACTGCTGTTAAAATAAGATGTAATCTACGGTGAAAAAAGAAAGTGCAATTTCAGAATAAATGTTTCGTAACATAGGGAACATCAAGTCGGTAGATACCAGTATTCTTCGTCATTTATCGATCCGACAAAGCCACGAAGAAATTATAATATACTAGTTAAAAAATGTTTGGATTTACAAATCCAAAGTATATTTTATGGTAAATGTGATTAAATTGTAATTCTCGGTATGAACACTATTCCGAATAGGCGTGCGTATTTCCAGAGAAAAAGCAATGTGTTTCCTGCATGTCACACTGCTTTAGACGACCGGTTGAGTATACTGTTGCATTTGCCCAAACTGCATCTCGAACAAGCAAAGTACGGAAGTCTGCCGAAGCCGTTTGCTTCCGTTGTGGCTAACAGTCACATATGAATTTTAGTTGCATCCAAGAACCAAAGGAAAGGCTTAATGACTGTTTACTTGGCATGATTTAACAACTGATAAAACTGTCGACCAAATACAGCGGTTACCTTTGATTTCCGCTGGTTAACATGTAGTAAAGTGGCACTACTGAGAATTTCATCAACTATGCACTTACTTAAGATACCAGTGTGTCAGATTAGTATCTAAGGAGGCTTACATTAGAAATTTGTTATCCAACTTGCTCAAACCATCTGATTCACACTATCTAACTCATATCGAATACGATTCAACTAAAGATTCTGCGTAGGTTTATCCGCTAACGCAGCTCTTGATTTTGCGTCAACCATCACGCCCGCTGCGTATGATTAAAAACCAGATGAACTAATGGGACTGTAACACTATTCTCCAAAGGGTAAGGTCAAACTGCTAGCAGCGAACTCAGGAAAATTCCTTCCAGAAAGGCCTAAATTCATAAATTTGTAATGACCTTCTGTTTAATCATTTGTCGAATGACACCCAGCTGTCCGGATTTTCAGTAATGCTGTAAAGTAAGTAAAGTTTATCACTGTAATCAAGTTGTAACCACAATCCTGGTATACTGCTTTCTATTTGATCCTCTGTTATCGCTGAGCGGCCCAAAACCTTAATTCAAATCTAACTTGTGATCTTTTAAGGATATTTAACCCATAAAATTTGAGCTTGAAGGTTAAATTTTCGACTGTCAAACATGCGATTGTTCTTGTGAATAATGTACACTGAGCTGTATGGGTAATAAACCTACCACCTACTCCCCTTTCTGAACCGGGTCTACCAAGCCCAAAACTTCTAACGTCTACGAGCACCCTACCCTCACAGTTCTAAGAAACATATTAATGATTTGTTTTGTATAACCGATTTATCACTATCAATGGAACCATCTGAGAAACCAAATAGCTACTTTAGATTACTGCAACTCCCTAAATTTACAATGAAAGCTGAATCTAATGACCAATTTTCTGAAGATTCATTGCTAACCTGTGGCTCAAATGAACAGACATATCCTAATCAGGTATTACCGCCTGGATACAGTTTCCTAATTGCTTACAACATTGAGCCATTTCAATTCAATGATGCAGCTACTCTGATGCGGAGAACAAGTCCTTCAAAATCCTCTAGTGGAAGCTACTGCTATTAATTTGGAGCGAGTGAAATGGGAGGGACAAGCATCGGATACCTTGTTTTCGTTGACAAGGATGTATTTGAAACAGATCGCCGAACTTCATATGCAAAGTTAGTTACAGATGGAAGTTCAATTTCGCACATGCTGTTACACTGTCCAGTTCGTATGTGTTTACACATCAGCGCGTTTGATTAGAACATTACTAGTAATATCTACGCATTTTAATATTATCTTAAGAGAATATTCCGTAGCTTGTCTAACACATAAGTAAACAGAGAATCTACCCTCATTTTCCAGAAAGCATTTAGTACCGATATGCAACAGAATTCATTAAAAGTTTAAATGCCAAAGTTGTTCCATTAATAACATTGCTTACATCTGCAGTGCATAGTACGTATTATGACCTGAATAATGTCCGTACTTCCATGGAATAGTTTCCACATCCAATGCAACTGCTGTGATATCTGGCAATATTCCTATGAGCAAAATGCTCATATCTATTCCAGAAACCGTTCAAAATATCTTTGCACTCATTAAACACTGTAACTGCAGTCGACTTTCAACAGTGTGGATAGTATCGGTGGTGCAACTTAGTCATTCTCAAAGGGGGCCAGAGGGAATTCCCGGGGGCCCTGGGATGAGAAAATTCTTTATGAGGCCACTGGGGACCATAGGGCGCCGTGCTGTGAAAAGTGGATTGTAATAATACAAATAACCAAATTCATATAAAAATAATTTGCTGGTATGTTCTCTCCGCGTACTTATCTCCCCTACAGATTTGTAAAAGAAATTATGCGCGCGCAAGTGTCTGTTTACGAAGTTGTGAAAGTCAGGCTGAGCAGACCTCCTCTTGCGGAGCTTACATAGCTCCGACAAACTTGCGCAGATTTCCCCGGTCTCACCTCAAAAATGCAATCACCACACAGCGACTTAGACTGCACAAATAACAACCGAGGTTACTCAGCACTTTGATGCCTATGCACAGTTCATCAACTAAGCTTTACTCAGAACACTGATGCATTTATTGTACAAGGTGCTGTGAACCTGGCGTAGTGTCGTCAGTGCACTGGGGCAGTTACGGCACAAAGCCACATTGATACTAACTGAGTATTCTTCAGGACACTGTCACTGTGTGACAAATCATATGCCAATCAGTCATCCTCTTTCGGATCTTACTGCGGTAGCGCTAGATTAGGCGCTTTTCGTCTCCACTGTAATTTGCATATTTTTGTCTGATTTGTTGTTACTTTAGCGAATCTGTTGCCAGATGATCGCGTTTTCAACAATTCATTAGTAAGAATGGACTCCCAATTGATCCTCTTATCAGACAATCCTCGTTTCGACAATGAACCCAGCTGGCGGACAACAAGTCCAATGTTATTGGATGTGACAGGTATCGATGTATTTGGTCCAACATACCCCAAGGTGAAAACGGTAAATAATCACTGGAGTGGTAACATATGTTATGGTAATCCTTCGGAGAGCTTATTCTGCAATTCTCTTCAAGGAAATGCTATTGCGTGGCTTCTACATGGGGAATTACTAAGATGTAGTGGGCTAAATTGAGAAAAGTGATCATCTAAACAACACAAATACATTGTGTTGTTTTGCGAGAAACATATACAGTGGCCCGAAAATTCGATTTTTACAGTAGGCTACAGCAGGGAGCAAATTTGTCAGGTAAAATAATCTAGGTTTCCCTAATGAAAGGAACAATTTTACATCCACTGACATAAGCGCCCAGCCTTACCGGCGCCATCAAGAGCTGAGACCCACAGAAGCGGTAGGTTTTATATCGTCAAATTTACCAATGTTTGCAGGTAAACCATTCAGGCTAATCGCACGCAGATATATTGTCATCCAATAGTAAACATGAGCACGTTATTTGTTAGCCTAGCGATGAATTAAATGAAGATAAGTGTGCTATCTTAACATCATCCGGGATAATTTCAGAAGGCTTTACGTACTAGTGGTGGGCCGAGCATAGGTGCATGTTGACTGTTTTGTCCTTATAATCACTTTTGATCGTTGTCACAAAATTTGCACCAAATTATTAACCATAGTTAACATATTGGAATATTCTTGGAACCGATCGAGAACCCATGATTTTAGAAAGGTTTAAAAATTACCGGTTGGTATAGTTTGGCAAGGTAAACAGTTGCATGAACAGAATGGACGGGGCAGAGCTTTCGAGCTTTTGGCGAGCTGTCTTAACCCGATCAATCTGAGGAGGGCCAGCGGATGGATCCAAGACATAGAGTGAACATCACATCATAACCCTACTTGTCATTAACAGGGCTTACCTGTGTGACCTGGTAACGCGGACCATTGTGACCGCTCCATGCACTATTTAGAGTGATGCGTTGACCCGTAACGCGATTGACCTTCCGCCTACATCCCATTCGTCGTGATTATCATCCCATTTCGCTATAAGTGCTATACCAGTCCTCGACTAGATCACTCGGCCTGGCGAAGCTTTTGTGTCAAAAGCGAAAAGTATCCCACAAACCATAGCAACCGGTGGTTTTCAAACCTCTCTGAAACCGTGATTAAATTGTATTAAATTTTAATCAACGCTTAGTCTTGCAGCCACTTCGAAAATAACCCTATTATTAAAACAATAATATTGATCACTACAGTAAAATAACCACCTTGCTTCTTTCAAATGAGATAGATTGTAAAAAGAATAGTCCTAGGAAAGAACATTCTAATTAAAAGATGGCTTCTAGTGAACAGTCAAACCACAAAGAGATTGGTGATCCAGTGCTATTCTGAACCTTGTAATCCAATATCTCATTAAAATGTAAAACAAAATCTTCGCTTTTGCGGATGGTGCAAATTTAAATAGGAGATGGAATACGGACTTTAAAGTTGGATTTGAAGTACCCGCTGTGTGGGTGGATTTCGATACGTACTCTCTATTCATACCTTGTTTCAGTTTGAAAATGACCTGGTCATTATGATCACAAAGACTATATTCTAATTAGAGATGTCCCAACACTAGCACCCCAGTGTGACATTGTTCTGAGTAGTAAAGGCAAAGCATCTCCGATATAGATATTACTTTTAAATCTGAATGCTACTAAAGAAAATAAACTAGTGGGTTTTTATGGAAGCGACGCGCTGCACTAAACTTTTCGCCGTAAAATTAAATATCCACAAATTGCAAAAACCTAAAATGTCTGCTCAGTGAACGGAGTAACGCTTGGTGATCGGATATTCGTGTAGGCTTTCCTTTAATCTTGATGACCGGAATCTAATGAACTGAAAAACGGTGAGCTAGTTTGAATCGAGCGGTTCCATTGTCGTCACAGCTTAAAATTTTATCTTTAGCTACATGGAGCTTGTATTATGCGGGGTTTTATTATTTCCTGCAAAGGAGATATATTTCAAAATA